ATAATAATTTTACTTCTATAGTTTAATATAAACTTTATACTAAATATTTTTATTATTTTAAGAGATAATTTAAGCTATATGCTATTATATTAATATTATATATATATTATATATATATATATATATATCAATGTTTTAAAATTTGGGTATGACAAGTATCTCTGTAGCAGTAAATCTTAAATGGTTCAACATTCATTAAAACAAGAACGAAATTGGAGACGTTTTGAATTAAAGAACGGCTTAAAGGATGCAATATTACGTGCATAAAGTAAGCGTTATCTTATTGGCACTTGAAATCGCATGTGAATTTCAAAGAGACGATTTCGAAGCATTACACTTTTATTAAACGTCGAGACGCAAAATCGAGCAAAATAATATTAGAAATGGCGCAAAAGCGCGACGTCTGATCGCACAAGAGCGCTGTCCGAATTTTGTCAGAATCGCATTAATTTATTCTGCCTTTCGTTAGCGCGACTGTAGCGAAATGTCGTTTCTCAGTCGCTTAATCAGGTTTCGCATTGAGAGTAAAAAATCACCACGGAAAGAGTTAACGGAGAAACTACGATGGGGCGGCTGTGAACCAAAGAGAAAGAGAAGAGAAAAGAGAGAGGAAGAGAGAGAGAGAGAGAGAGAGAGAATATTAAATTAGGAAATTTCATAAATTCCCTTTAGCGATCTCTTAGACGATTCGCGCTTCAAGACTCGTGTTTTTCGCTTGAAATCATAATGAGCCGCGTCAGGCTAAATCTACCTACATACAGTTAGCTATCTGTTCCATATTTTGCGCGACGACGACACCAGTGATGATCAGTTTCTCTTTTCATCGATCTAATTGCATTTTATGTCTTCATGTTGTCGATAAGATTGATCCCGAAAAAATAATTGCAAGTAATCACTCATATACACAGAAATATATACTGATTAACTATTACTTACAGAGAATCTTTTAGATGAAAAAATTAACGTGTGAATAAATTATCGTTATTGAATAGAATTTGCATTTAGATCTAAAAAAATGAGAAAGATGAAGGGATAGTAATCCAAAAATAACGATTCACGTATCAATTAAGGACGATTTATCTTTTTCGAAACCGTTTATCAGATAAATATTTCAAAATACCATAAAAATACATCTCGGGTTAAAGTGAGAGATTATTTTACAAGATGCAGAATATTTTCTCTATTACTGATTAAAAAAATAAATTTGTTTTTATGTATTATGTTTAAAAAAAATTCACTTTGCCTCAATTTGCTCAACGCAATGTTATCGATGACGTCGAATCGCGAAAGAACGTACTCCGAGAATATTACGAGAAAGTACGTAAGATTCTTCGCAGAAGTTTCACCGGTAATTATCTAAAGTTACCAAGGGCCACGGGAGTCAAAGTGTGAAGTCGTGTTCGAAGTCTTTCTGCACTTCAACGCTCCTTCGTGCCGGTTAATAACAAATGAGCCGGGCTGCGAGCCCCTCACTTTTGTTATAATCGGAGACACTTGCCCTCGTACAGTTACCGTCTACCATTCTGCATTATTCAGTGAATTCATTTGTAGCATTCTAAACAGCCAACTTATATCTCTCGCTTCCTTAACGCTTTGTTGCTTGAATATAACTACAACTTTCTACGGGGATGTTAAAATTATGATATTATATGAAAACTTTGCATTTTTTAAATTTCTCCTTATTGATAAAATCTTAAATTCTTAATATAACCAATTGTAATAATTCAATCCTACCTTGCTTAGTTTTGATACATTTTAAAATAACCTTCTAGGGTGTCTAAAAATTTGCTCTATTTCAGGAAAGACGTGAAAAATAATCTATTTTAGACTAATATTTTTCTTCTATAGTCGATAACATTGCTCACTTATATTAGAATTTAAACAATATATTAATTTGTCTAACAGTTCTCTAATATTAATCACGCTGTTTTTAACGTGTAATATTAAACAAAATTTATAAATTATTATAGACATTCTTTTGATGAGGTAGAAACCGTTGTTTCTTATTTAAAGTTCAAAAACGTCGTAATCATTATATTCCTTATGATCATTCATACCAATAGACAATATTTAAAACAATTTTAAAAGATTTTCCTTATTTTTACGAATACATCACAGCAAACTGCATCGAATTTCAAACAAATCTTTCCCTGTCAGAAACGTCGTTTGGCATTTTACGTTTCGCATCGCTGCGCCCCACGACAATGTTCAATCAAATTTTTCGCCGTGCGTATCTCCCCGCGAAAAAGGTCAAATTTTCGATATTCGTACACCGCGCCATACCGTCCAATCTAAAGCATCAGTATGATCCTCCGGCACGGTACAGCAGTTGATTTACAATCGGCCGTGGGAATTCGCTTGATAATCAAACGAGAGTTTCGGATTGGATTTGTACGGCGCGTTGCACTGTCTCTCTATATGCAGCAAGCAGGGCCGTGGTGAGGCGAGGAGAGGCGAGAAGAGGCGAGGAGAGGGGCGAGGCGAGGCGCGGCGCGGCGCGGCGCGATGCGGCGCGGCGCCGCTACGAGCGCACGAAGCGCGCGCGCGGCATCGGCCATGTGAAGGAAAATCAATTAGCCGGGCAAACTGATTCGACTGCGTCTGTTTACTCGTGCGAGTCCGCAATGTGTTTCGCGTCGTAGCACAGGCGCTTCCGCGCATATACATATGTATATACGCACTCTCGTACACACGCGTGTACAGAGCCGCTACGCACACAACGTGCCGATGCAACGAGGCTTTTGTGCGGCTGATGCACCGCGAAGCTCTCGCACTACGCGCTGCAATACACACACGTGTATCTCGATATACAGCCGAACGTACATTTCTAGCCAGTACCATCGCGCACTGTACAAATGCACACACGCGTACGTATTCACACTCGCGTATGTACGATCGTATATGGAATTTAAGAGATGACGTACGTTATACCGCATGATGCTTAATGCGCCACAGCATATTGTTGCGTAAGCGTATTATCCAAGATTATATATTGTTCAAAGAATTTTGACTAAGTAGCATTCTATCTATGACTAGTGCCAGTCATCTGATAAATCTAGCTAATTTTTAAGTAATTCCTTTATCGATGAAGTTTGAGAAAGAAGAGAATGTCGAGGCATGCATTTTTTTTTTCCTTTAAATTTACTTTAATCTCTTTTATTCATAAGAAAATGTAACTTAGGATGCTTCTATTGATTTATTTGTTGTATTGAGAAACATCGAAGCTAAACTATATTCTGTTAATAACGGTAATCATATTCGAGATATCAATCAGATTTCTGATCATCGAGATGTATTATTGAAAATGTCAAACGAACAACATCGAATCATTCGATATCATGTCCAAGCCGTCAGATGGATAACATGGCGAGATAATGTCGTCAATGAGCACAAAAATATGACGTTGATATTCACCGAAATAAAAGACGCTACGTCGTTTTTTATAATTCTTCAAATTTTAACCGAAAATATCTCGATAACCAAGTTTTGAATCAAGTATCATTAAACGCCATCTAAAATTCTGAAATCAATGGAAAAATAAGATTCGACCTATTCAATTTTTTTTATGGTTGTTGTCTCGATGAATATTTGACAGTCGGGCATAAAAATGGCACCGATATTCACCGGGCGGAAGATGACAAATGATTGAAAAATCATGTCAAATGCACCCTGAGTGGCACGTATATCTGCAATCGAAACTCGATGATATATTGTGCGTACACGTCGATTCCAAGTATCACCACAGACGCGTTGGAACGTGTGACATGTTAATAAAGTACGTCGCTTCGAAAGAGTGATGTATTCATATTAGTCTCGGTGTCCGTAATGACATAATCATTGTCATCAAGAAACGCGCGAGTGCAGAATTGGCCGACGCTTTAATAAGGACGATATTGAATTACCTAGTTCTGCGCGAATCCTAAAATGACTCATTTAATTTGCGACGGCGTCGCGACGCCGGTATGCCCCGATTCTGTCAATCTTTCGGCTTCGCTTTAAATATAATATAAATGCATACGTATGTATATCATGTACGTGTGCCAGTACGTGTTTGTGTGTGTGTGTGTGTTTGCGTATGTGTGGTGTGTGTGTGTGTGTGTGTGTGTGTGTGTGTGTGTGTGTGTGTGTGTGTGTGTGTGTATAAGTGTAAGCGGACAATTGCGCGCGACACACGATCGCGCGCACGCGTGCGTGTCCTGCGACGCGATCGGCAAAAATAAAATATGCAGACGAGATAAATATTAAGTGCCGTTGACAGGTAAATCGCGTAACACGTTCGATTTCCATTCGGATGAAAATACTTCTCGGCTACGGTCATTAGCCGCGTATTGAAATTTATTACGTAGTCTACGTGGGACTCTAAAACGGCCTCGTGACATCCCTTGTCGAACATATGAATCTGCGCTAACAAAATATACATTTTCGCGATATAATAATGTTAATTTTATCGTCTATTGTTCTATCACACGTTGTCTCGATATGAAATTAGTATAGTAGATAGATCAATGATGTATATTACATCGGATTATTAATTTTGTTATAATATAAGAAAGGAAGCATTAAAAATTTAGAACGGAATTAGACCAAGTCTAACAATAAGAACGAATATTTATCACATTTACGTCATACATTTTCAAAAATAAAAATGTAATTGACGATTAAGTATGGATTAATTTTGAAAAATACTATTGTCATAGCAATATTAAATTCATTGTTATTAAAGTATTCGTCTAGACAGCATAAAACACTACAATTTCTTTCCTGCATAATATAAAACATAATAAACAATTGTTTGTCCGTTTAAATATATTTGCAAATTGACGTTTGACATCTCGTCTTTCCGTTTTTCTGTTTTTTAGTTTAGATTTTCCTCTCTCATGGTGCTGCCATTTCTACGTGAAAGAAAAATACATTTAACACTATCTAGATAAAATTGGTTTAGTGCTGTATTATAAGAAAATCTTGACTCTGATGAGAAATGGCATTTTTTCATTTTGCAGAGTCGTATATTCGAAGACGCATCCATTGTGTGCAATTCTTGGTCACCAAGGCATAATGTGAGTACTGAATTACATTTTTTTCTTTTTTATTTTTTTCCTCTGTGCACGTTTTTCAAATTAAAGAGGGATTGATTCGATTAATTTGACTTTGTGTCGCGTGATGTTGAGATAAATATTATAATATTATTAAAACATGATATAATTTATGAGAAAAGTCAACTGTTTTATTAATCATAGACTTATTTAGAAAATAGTAATAAAACGCCTAGACGGATTAATTACATCTTTACGGAACGACGTCGCCGTGATATCATTTTAATAGAACAACCCGATTATTTGAGACGTCTGCAGACGAGACAATGTAGTTATACACATCACGTGTCGTCTTTCTAATAATTATATTCGCATAATATGTACGACAATTACGTTGCGTCGTAATATTGCAACATTATAAAGTTAATAAATGAAAAAGTTTTTCAGATATACAGATGTATAAAATATACACATACTTAACATGATTTATCATTATATTTATTTTCCGTTTTATGAGCTGAATATTTCAAAAAATGACATTTAAAAATTAAATAAACGTCTTTATGATATGTTTCTAATAAATATATATATATATACTCTGTTTCTGATAAATATATACTCTCAAATTATATATACTTATGTGATACACATATAAGTATATAAAAAATACTTATTGTCACATATGACGATTCTTTCTATGGAATTTGAAAACTTTTCGTTAGAGTGAAAATTCAATTAGATCTCATTCTCTCAGAATTATAAGTGGAAAAAAGGAAAGAGAGAAAAGGGAAAAAAGAGATAATGAAGGAAAAGGAGGAGAGACGGGAGTAGAGAGAGAGAGAGAGAGAGGTAAAGAGAAAAAGGGGGAAGAGAAAGAGATTATGAGACTATTACTGTACGAAATGCCTCATAATATTTATGCTTTACGGAGCCACGTAGTTACGGTAGCCAGGCTCGCATAAACTTGCTAACTCGTGGTTACGATTATGGCCAGTAGTAAATTGATTATTTAGATATACGATGAGGCGATAGTCGAGTACCGTAAAAAGAGCTATGTGTCACTTATGCTCACCACGGATGCAACAGATACTCGCGGTGCTACGACAGGAGTCAATGCGATCCGGCGTTTTTCGTTGCCGTTCGTACATTCTTCTCTCGATAGCCGCGCGCGAGAAATTATTCGTACATCAATGTATTGAATTTTTTCATACATTGGCATAATAACGGGGAGATAACGATTTACGGAAGAGGTATTATATCTATAAATTTGTGAGGAACATTATCGATAAAGATGACATGCGGAGGAGTGCACGCGTTAAACATATATACGTAATAATAATATATGATAGAACAATACGTGACGATAATACGATGGGACCACAACGGAATGATTGAACACAGCGGAAATGGAAATCGATAACGCAGATTTAACAACAATAATCCCAGAGACGAGATGTAGCCGCAAGTCACAGCGTCATCGGCGTATCACGGACATAAAAAGACGTTAATATGATAGTATTAACGACAATAGCAACGTTTAATATTAACGTCGTTAAGGGAGAGGCAGTGGAGAAGGCGGTGGAGACCGCGGGGTCGAGTCGCGTCTGCGCTACGAATGAAACTGAATTTGATGGACCCACAGCGCGAGAAGCCCACGAATAATGTTCTTTACTCTAGACAGTAGGTACTCCGCCATGCAAGTGATAATTTGAACAGTCTCCCCGTTTTCGTGTCAGACGTCAGATTTTCTGGAAGAATTTACTTATTCATGCGTCAGACTACTCCGTGATGTAGGTTATCGGACGGAAATAACGTAATTGTCCCAATTTGCGATATCCGATAGCCGACGGGTCCGTGGCGCGCTCTCCGCACTCCGCATTCGGACTCGTAGTAACCGCGAGCTGATCGCTAATCAATTTCGTATACGGAATGATACGTAATTGAACCGCACGCCGCGTGATGAGATTTTATTTTATTTTTTTCACTCGCGCTACGAACTAACGCGCTCCTCTTACAATTAGTATTGATGCCGTGCTATTCGTATCTTATTGACGCGACGGATGCGCTACTTGGCGGCATTTATCGATCGAATCTCGCGGACGGTTCTCTGACTAACCGCTTGGCTCAGACACGACTGAGTTTTAATTGCTAATTGATTTTGTGCACACGTTCGAAGATTTATGTATCATATTGATGTGTCCGGGGCACATCTAATTTTGCATTCCCGAACGAAATGGATTAAGAGAATTGGTTTTCTGTTGAAATACGATTTTCCAAGGAACAATGCCTTGATAAGGCAAACGATTACGCGCATCTGATACAAATGAATTATACAGAATATCCGTAATTATATATAATCGACTTATTTTGCTAATACCTTTACACCGTGGATTCCTTAGAAAAAAAAGAAGTACTCTACTTATATATTCTGGGATTCGTACACGATAATTTTACGTTTTCTTTAGAATAATTGACAATATAAAATACATTATTAATGTTCTAATAGATATTTCTTGAAAATAATCAGCCAAAACGAGCATTATTAACATTCTCGAGAAAACGTGATGAAAAATTAAGAAACATTATTTATTTTATAATGTCTTTTTTCAGATTGTCTTTCTAAATTCTAATTTCAAACCACTCCTTGATTCTGCGCTATGACTATATAGTCTTGTTATCAGTTATATGTTAGCCACTTAATCAGACCCACCGTCGGACGATGGAATAAATTATGCGGAGGGCTTGCAGGGTCTGATAATTCAATTGTAATTGCCTAATCCTCATAATACCTTACTTCTAGAAGACGTATCTCGACCGCAAGGGTCGGCCGCATCGAAAAATGACTCTATTAACCGCGACGTTCGCAGAGAATCGCGCAAAGGGGAAGAAACTTTGTTAAACAACAGTAGGAGGTGTTAACTATATAGCTAATAAGAGCAATCTGTATTCTTGCTGGCACTATTAAGCTTCGTCCACACCATACAAACGTTTTATATTATGTTAACAATGCGCGTGATTTTATAAATCTTTTTAAACACATTAAGTAGATATTATATACAAGAGAAGAAAATGACAGCGAGGTGAAAGATTAATTTTGTTATGCTTAATTAATTTGTTATGCGGTAATCAGCACTATAATAGTATATATATTATGATAATATTTAGCTCGTTAATTAATGCATGATCCTAAATAAAAATAGACTCGGCATTTTAACTAAGTTCGATTAATTAAGATGACGGTATGTGAATATGAAAAAAAAACCTGATTCGTTGTAGAAATAAAAAAAAGCAGTAATTGTGAGAGAGACTTTAGAACCTTCTTCTCAACTTTGGTAATTTCGACCATTGCAGACGTGTGTATACACATGTATGTGTGCACATATGAAGATCGAGTGACTGTTCCAGTATTACGTTAAAGGAGGGTCCATCGCACTTTGCCCCTCGCGAATCGTAATTTATTGCCCTGCTAATGCTTCGATTAAGCAGCATGTCCGCGTGAAAAACGTTGTCATTATGGATACAACTTCCTGCGGGAAAGTATTACTTCTCACTCTAATACTTCTACGAATAAGTAATTGTTTTAATTGTATTTTCACGTGCTTACACAGCAAGTGGTTTTATTCGTAAATTTATTCGTAAATTTGACGCTTTTCTTCATTCTTTAGAAATCACATTCATAGTTTTCAGCAATTTTCCAGTTTTTCATCATCGTGTGGAGCTCAATTTATGAAAAAAATTGAACGGGAAAAATATTTGATAAATTAGACGTAATGCGTGGAGAAAATAAAATTAATTAACAACTGCTTCCATTAAAAATTTTCGTTTTCTTCATTTTGTTTTGTGAAAAAAAAATTCAAATAATTTATGTATCTGCGATAAACAAGACATACATTCTACATTTTTCATTTTGTGTTTTCCTCTTTAGTAGCATTTTGATTGTCAACTCTGGCGAGATACAGCTTCGCATTTCGTTACGGAAAATACAACAAACGGTAAGATAGGCGAGAGGGAAATTTCGGAATTAAAAAGAGTGACGGCAGTTCAGCAACCTAGAGACAGTCGTAGGTACGTCGTACTCGACGAAGACACGAGGAGTTCATAAATAATCGAAGCGCTAGAACACGCCAGTGGTTTCCGCATGAAACATTGATCGGGCAATGCGGACATTACAGGTCGTAATGAAATAAGTGGGCAGTGAATCACTTTTAGTTTTACCCGCCGTCCAAGCTAACGATATTTTGATAACTCTTACGGATTAATCTGGACAAGGATAGTAGGCTTGGCGGGTTACGGATAATAAAGAGTTGATGAAGAGAATAATAAAACTTTTAAAGAAATACCGAAATAGCACTTCATGTATAACATTAATAGATATATGATATTAAATAGTAGAGTACATATTAATGTTATGTCTTATGTAACAATGTTAATCATAATTTCAGAATGTATATGTAAACATTCAAATCCATGTTGTTTGAAATTATTTTTGTCGTGTCGTATTTTGAGAAATTTATATTGCAACATAAAACAATTTCTGAGAAAATTATAACATGTCAAAAAAAAAATTTTGAAAAATTTGTCTAATTATTTTCCGTGAATATAACAACATAAAAATAATAATCTTGTTTATCAATTGTGATCGTGTAGATACGTATTCTATCGCTAATTGTTATTCAATAAATACTGGAATTTGTTATTTTAACATAATGCTTTCTTTTAAGAGATATTACAGAAACTGTAATAGTTATGTCGAAGATTTGTACGTAAATATTGTTAAACATTCAATATTTTGTCACTGAAAAGGATATTTAAAATTGTTCTGCGTATTAAATTAACAATTTTTATGATCATAATAATAAATTATATGCAATACATATTGTAGAATCCAGCAAACTCATTCAAATTGTTTATATTTGAAAATTAGTTTGTTTATACGATTAACGATTCAATAATGTCATCAAATAACAAGTTACACAAAGTACACGAATCTTCACACGAATAGAGAAAACCAGTAATTATTAATTAATATTATTACTTAATAGAAGAAAGAAAAGTCAACAGTAATAGTTTAAACTATACTGATTCGTTTTACACGCAAAATCATTGAGACAATAATGAGATAATTTAGTAATGCCAACATTTCATATTGGACGACATTTCGTATTAGCGAAACTGCAAATTTTGTTTAAATTTGTTTAGATTTGAAATATATCTTCGTATTGAAATGGTTTCAAAGGCATGTTATAAGTTATATGCAACTTATAACTGCGATATTCTTTGAACGTAGATCGAACCTAGTAACATGTCGCAAGTGACAGATGTAGTTGATGCAGAATGTCCCATATAATATCGATCTCACCTCGGTGTACAGACAAGTCTAAGTGATATGAGGCTATGAATGCAATGTACAGCTTTCATTAAGATATTCCCCTAAAAAAGTTACTTTAATCAATAACAAAGAGTAGATAGAAACTGACTGCAGCTATAAAGTCGACATAACACAGTAATCGATATCAAGTTACATAAATTTTAATTAGTTTACATCAGTATAATTTTACATCAGAAATTCATATCTTACCGAGGGAGTTTGGAATATTTTGTTATAAATAAATAAAACTGTTATGAGTTCTCTTTTTTTTTCGAAGACAATAATAGAAGAAAGAAAATAAAATAACTCAATAAAAAGTTTGAAAAATTACTTATTAGTTAATTTATTAGTATTATATGTATATCGATTGAGAAACATTGATGTCCGAAAAATTAATATAGAATACGTATATGTATACGTGTACTATGTACATATATAGAATATGTAATTACGCATTCATGAAATTCTTTTAAAAATCGGCAAGTTACAAAAAGGGAATTTTGGTCCAACCCTCCTAGCACATAACGCGCCATGAAATGAAATCACACCCCCCTTGTTACTCCGTTCTGCACTGCTCATAAATTTCGCCGTAGCGTAGTTTAAGCTATTTTCGTTACCATTAAATGTTGACTCCGCCGAAGGGGACCGGATCTCCAAACACGCGAAAGGGAATCGGGATGATCCTCCCCCCGGCTCGTCCAGTTTCACCACTGCTGCGCGATACTGACGGATATATTCTGTCCACCGTCCCGAGGGAGACTCGGTCAAGTATCTATCCTTCGGATCGATTCCAGTGTAACGGATGAATTTGATTACCGAACATCATAGGGCATGTGTACATGCGCTAATACAATGACGTTACTGGGCTCGGGAGGATTGTAATCTAATGCCATTAATCCGTGCAAATATCGTCGTTTTTCCAATTACACATATCTGTGTGTGTGTGTGTGTGTATATATATATATATATATATTATATAAGGGTGGTCCACTTGAATCGATCATTTGAAATATTTCATTTATTTTTGATGATATAAAAAATTTTTTAAATGAAAGTGGGAGGGTTTCCAGAGGGACATATTTTGATCATGTTGTTTTTTTTCTAAGTGGAGGCGTCAAAAACATATGAAGGTTACACTTTTTGTATGATTTTTTTTACATAATATGATTTCTGATGACTCTAATTATTCTGCATATAAAAGTATTAAGGTAGTAATATCAAAAAAACCAATAGTTGACAAGATATTTTACATTTAATTCTAACACATATTGACATAAAATGTTATGTAACTCAAAACTCTTCTCTACTTTCATTTAAAATATTTTTTTATATCATCAAAAATAAGCGAGACATTTCAAACGATCGATTTTAAGTGAATCCTTATATATATCTTTAGCACCGAATATCGCGCAATAACTATAAAAATTTTATTTAAAAGTTTTTAGATTTACAAAAGTAGATGTATTACTTGTTATTTTTTTGTCATGTATATGATAATTTCATAATAAATAACCAAATTGTAGGAATATTATTCTATTCATATTAAGCATTAGAAGGGTTGTATAAACATGAATCAGAAACGTTCCCTTACCGTCAGAGATATTTTTTTCTTACGGCAATATATTCATAGTTCAAATGACGAGATAAAATTTGTATTCTTTTACAAGCCTGCACAAGTTATTATGACTGTTGTTCAAATAAACTCGCTTTCGAGAAAAAATAATTTAACGTTCCAATATAAAGTTTATATAACGCAATATCATCCAATTCATTCTACATTACAAATTTCTAGTTTTCTATCGTTTAAAATAATTTTTTCAAAATTTTGCATGTATCCGTTGCACTATTCCAAATTATAATTATCTTAAATAATTAAAAATCTAATGAAATGAATAAGAAAATGTTTTTAGATAATAAATATCTCTTTACAGTATTTACACACAATATACCTATCATATATTTGTTTAAATCAAAATTAATAAATATTAATGTCTATTAACAAAAAAAAATTTTGTTTAATTGTCTACTTCGAAATAAAATTAAATTTAATTAATAAAATTAAATTGTATAATAAAATAAATAATAGAATATTTTGGAAAAATTGAAAAATTCAGTTTAAATAATAGAAAATTTATGTCTGAGCCTAAAAAACTTGCAATACGCGAACATCTCGGATAACAAAACTATTTTTAGGCTATCGATCGCACAGCCATGTTGCCGTCCAATATACAAGCTCATTGTTGCCCAGATAACGTCAAATGGATAAAATTCAACAAGAATTTATATAATAAATAATAGGCTATAACTAATCATTATTTGCATTATCCTCATATAAAGTAAATCAATTTACATTTGCAAATTACGATATTTAATCTGTTTCCCTTTGCGCTTGTAATTAACAGCGAATAAATAAATACTAAAATAAATTAGTAACAAACAAAAAAAAAATATGTGCATATATGTGCACGTAAATACGAATTTTATATGTAAATATTCAAATGAATTTGACAAATGAAAATTGAAAAAGATCTCCTAATTTATCATTAAAATACTTGTTCAATTAATGATCCCAATCTCTATTTACAAGTCAAAAGTATTATTAATAATATTGGATGATTGGATCGGTCTCTTTAAATATCACAAAAATAGCAGTAACAATCAGTAATTAAAATTGTGAAAGAATTAATGCGGTATTAACGCGGTATTTACGTTGAATTTAAAAAAAAAATGTTTAAATTATAAAAGGCATGTAAGTGCAAATACATGAGGTGTAAAAATTAGGAAGTGTAAGTTGCAATTAGATCACAATGTAACAAGTACATCAAGTTATCTGATTGTCAAAACATTACTTAATGCTTTAATCAATAAGTAACATATTGTAACATTTTGTGTTTCAGGGTGATTTATTCGGTGGCTTGAATAGTGGTCTGCAAGATGGCTTACTTTCAAGAGCGGAGGCTTTGGCAGCAGATTTGGGAAAACACAACGCTGGGACACCGATGCCGCTGAAGCATGATCCCGTATCTGTGTACCATCATGGAGCACATATGCCTACCCCCCACCCGAATAACCGGCCACATCATCAGGTACAATCACACCTCCTTGTGAGTCCGCATTTTTGATATATTTTATTCTATCGTACATATTACATTCTACAATACAATGTTAGAAACACATGAACACGTATTGTCTTATTTAATGGTGTGTCAATAAATAAACTATATAGATATATTCTCTCTTTACAAATCGATAAAAAGCTTTCGTTAAAAGTAAGAAATCTCTCTTTTATATATTTTTGTGAAGAAAAAAATGGAAAATATTAATCGCGCAAACTAAGCTGTTTAAATATTGTATGGAATATGCATGTCGCGATTACATTTAACTGCGAATATCAAATCAAATGGTTTATTCATTTTGCATTTCTATTTTTATTCTTGCATTAGATATCGTAACTATATACTCAGATTTAATTGTTGATAATAAAAAAAAGAATATTATTATTCGCGCAAGATAATTATCGTGATAAAAGCTGAAGGCTGCTATTGCCATTTCGTAAACCCCCCGTATACAAGCTGGGGGATGGTACATCCATAAAATGCAACGAATCCAACGGTCGGTTAAAATCGTTGCTAATAATTAATTACGCGCGGCAATTAATTTTGAATTCATATTTAATTGGCAGATTGAAAAATTTAATTTACGCAGTTTATTTGTTAATATCGCGAACAATGCAGACAACGATTTTAATTTTCTGCGTTTTAATGGTTAATAAGCCGTATTATATTTACAACCGTCGTTCATAATCGCGCAACAGCAGTGCAGTCGCGACGCCGTGATTATGCCGTTTAGATACGGTCATAATAATACATATATGATTTTCGTGCGAATTGCATTTCAATTTGTTGCCTCGTATACCTTATGCTAATTTGAGCAATCTGATGCTGATGATAGAAGTACAATGGGAGAACGGCGTCGGGTAACCAATGCGCATCGATCCGGAATGATGTTCTTAAATGTAGGGGCGTGCTTGTATATTATCTCCGTGTATATCTCCGTGTCACGACTGCTTGTAATGTTTTCTCTCTTCCCCCCCTTTAACCCCAGATAGAGAGCAATGAATTCTAAGGGTCCACGGGACCTGCGTCTGCGGCGAGGGTTCAATATGGGTTTTGTTCAACTTCTCGCGTGTCGGCTTTCTGTGGGATTTGCGTACGTGATTTTATCGTCATAAATCGCTTTCTCTCCTTTTCCTCGACTCCACTTGTTAGATGTAAATTATGTACAACTTTGTACTTTAAATTGATCATTACTTCTATTGTGCCATTTGTTCTACTACCAATTCCGTTTTATAAATTCAATTTTCTGACTTGATTTTTTTATGCTTTAGTATTTATTAAAATATCTTAATAATCAATTAGGACAAATAATCCTATTTTCGATCAAAAAAGGGATTTTGGTATTTAAATATGTTGCGGTGTGAATTTATATGCCTATATATATTCAATTCTGCAAACTGCGCGCCAAAATATTTTACCGTCTTGAAATCTGAAATGAACAGAACTAAGATAGTAATCATATATTAAATTGACAAGCAATTTAATGATATTGATGCTGATAGACATCTTAGAAGGATATTTGATGTTAATAAATATCTTAAAATAATTTGTTGCGAGAAATATTACCTCAGTCGGGATTCGAATTTGAATCTCGAATTCCGTGCAAGCTTCCTCTCAATTCAATTACTACTAATATTCGTTACAATAATCAGTAACTAATGAGAGATCGTCGTTTTTCAAGAAGACATGTATAAACAATTACAATTCCAAATTATATACCGACGAGAATAAAGCAATTAAGAGGAATAAAATTCTATTTTCGGTCAATCTTAATGACACTATTTTATAAAAAATTTTTTTTCTATTACTTTGGACCGGACTACGTGTCTCTTATAGATTTTTGGACTAAAAACGATGCAAACGAAAAAACATATAAATGATTTTTAATTTTAGTGATGGAGCAAATCAAATCCCGTAACTATTCAATTTCGGCTTCATACGATATTCAACTATACTTGAGAGCATTGAGTTTTAATAAATGTGCGGTATTTTGATTGTATTGAAAAAAAAAAGAACACGCGTACCTACATAAGCTAAATGTATAAAAATAATTGATGAATAATAAAAAGATTTTGAATACACGTATGTATAGTAGGAAAGAAAGCAGAAAGGCAAAAACAAACGTCGAACTGATGTAAAAACAGCAAGTGGGCACGCGTAACGCGTGAGATCCGAATGTGCACGCGGATCGAGAGCGAATACAACGCGGCGAACAAGGAGGGAAGAAAGAAAAATTAGGGGTGAGGTAGGCAATAGAGCAAGGAGAAAGAGCAAAACATAGGAGCCGGCTAACCCTACCATCGTGTCAGCGTAATGATGAAATATTGCGCAGGTCTCTCGGGCCCTACCTCGTACGCCCCTGGGCAAGTCCACCCCCGACAACCCCTCAACGAAATCCCCCTCTCCTCCCTCGTCCCCTGCCCTCTCCCCCGTATGCTTGTATATTTGCTACCGGTGCTCCCGACAGCTTCCACCTTCTGCCTTTTCCACGCTGCCCGCCAACGTCCATGCAGCGCAACCCCCCTGCATTTCTGATGTAACTGCGCTATCCCAGGGCACCACCACCGACCGAAACCGTGCCATCCAGTTAGCTCACTATACTGCCGTTCTCATGAGAATAGATGATGCGCGTGTTGCCTACACGTATACATGTATGTGTGTATAAGCCTCGACGAGGTCGTATAAGCGTTTATGTATGTACGTGAGGTAATGGCCGGATTGAGAACGACGTGGATATTTTTAGTAGCGATTTTTATAGTGATTTTGGCGCTATACTTAATGTTACGTGCTACTCAAACACGATACAGTTTTACGCGTACAAAGCTAAGAATAATTCATTAGAGGAATACACGAACGAAAGAAATTAGCTAATTAAAATGTAGACATGTCTCATAATTAAGGGACGGTTCAACAACTTATTCATTCGCATCTCATTATGCACAAATAGACACAAATAGATTTTGACACATATATAATATCTTTCCATTTACGAAAATAAAAAGCTATTTTACAATAAAATCCTTAAACAATTTCACACATGTATGCTATATCGACAATCACTGTCATTTGCGATATAATTGTCTAATAAGTTTATTGTACGTGCATGAAGAACAATTTTATTTCTGAAATATACGTGTGAACTAATTCTAATTACATGTTCTGTCCCCACGGTCAAAACCGTTGCTGTGTTAGCGTCTAGTTAATTTAGTATACTCTCGTGAGACTAGACAATTTCATGTGTGTAAACAAGATCATACGCGTGTGCGTGATACCTTACATACTTAAGTACGTAGGAGGACGCAATAAATAAATTATATACTAAAGCAGATTAACAATTAAAATAAGTTAATTGAAAAAAATTAATCAACTTGAATAAAACAATATGCGTATATTGGAACATTTCTATAAAAAAAAAAAAAAATAGGTCAAATTCAAAAGGAATAAGAAACAAAAAAAATGAAAAGATACTTCCTTCGTACTTTTTCTACACACACACACACACACACACACATACACAAATAAACAAAACACTATTTCAAAAAATAGCTTTCTCATTTATTCGTCCTTAATTTGCGATTTATCGCATTTGACTCGTGGCAATGCATTTTCCGTTTCGTTTCAACAGATGATTATCCGATATTGGCTTTAAGAAAACGAGTTAACAGCACGTGCTGTATGTAACAGCAGAATAAGAGAAGAAAAATATGAAAGAAGTTCATAAATAATTTGTAAAGAATGTGCTGGAGGTGCGTTTTGCATTCGTGACGACGGTCGCGGCACGTGTAGCATAATTATACATGTTAGCTTGTACATATTTCCTACTCTCTCTCTACCGCACTCTACCTAACTTTGCTTTTTATCCTCTTCATTCATATCTCTCCCACACCACGATGGTGCTTCATCAAAACGCATTTCCGCAAACTCAGCGATACGATACGCATCCGGCCTTTCAGCAGACCTTTCAAACACCTCCGAATTTATACATTTCATTTTATATTACATATTTTCTTGAATAATATGCATACGTGAAGCGAATACCTTGAATTTTTCCAATGCAAGATATCTTTATGTTAACACATTTAATTATTAATATCACTTTTTAATAATTAGAAAGTGCTATTAATACTAACTTTGTTTTTTTTTTTTTAATAAATGGTTTGAATGAATTGTTTTTAATATTTCTGTTTCACAATATATGTTTAATTTAGATATTATTAATGTTTAATTAGTATTGGGCTTTTCTTTAAAAAAAAAAAACACTGTGACATAGTAAATCATTTCATTCTTGTTTTCTAATGTTAAATGAGAATGAAATAATTCATTGTCTTACACTGTGTTTCTTGCTAGAAAACGCTCATTATGAACAATTGTCTTAAATTAATTATAGATTTTCTTTAGGTCTATTAAGCTCTCACATAGCCATAATCAAATGTGATTTATACATATAAAAATCGCTATTATTTTTTTCTAATTAATTGCTCTTAATTTCGATTTTTTGACCAATCGATTTTTTGACCAACCGGCGGCAATTTGCGGAAAACAATGGCTGTGCTAGCTTAAAATTAAAGTCAATAAGAAATAACAAAAAATTAAAAACAAATAAGTCTTTTTATAGTGCTATTTAATTGTTAATTAATTACTCTATTGTCGAATTTATTGCTCCAGTCGAGTTGCAAAAAATAATATCGGTTTAGAAAGAGAAAGAGCGAGATTCGCTGAACAAAAAATCAAAAGCAATTAACAAAAAAAAATAGCAATTAATTTTTATGTAAGTCGCATCCGAAGTTGTATGTGCTGAAGTTAATCAGTCCAACAGACATGTTTCCTTTTATTGATATGTATTGTTAATTATCAATTTATCAATTATCACACATATTAAAGAATAAACCAAGAATATTGATAAAAAAAAAAGAGAAGTCTCTTTCTTTTGAAAATAATTTTCTATTTAAGTATGTTACAAAATCTCGTTATATATGAAGAATATTTAAAAAATTAAGATCGATCACATGAACGTAGGTTTTCAAAAAGAGAAAAAGGAAAGATAAAATAGTAAATACCAAATATTTTGGCTTTTAATATGGCTTTTAATATAGATTATTCTATTCCTATACGCATATAATTACCAGCAAGATTGAAACGAGCAAGATTATCATGACAGAACACGAGCTTTTGTATCATTTCGTCATCAAAGGATGTCACCATCAATATATTCCATACGACTAACGTCATCAACTAACTAAAACTTTCAACAGATCCTCCAAAAACATTTCGGCAATGTCGAACGTAAAAGAATGTTCTTAACAAAACGATAAACACGTAAATTAAAGACTCGAATTAAAGACTCTTAATTTGCGTGTTCCAGATGAGCCATCCAGGAATGGAGAGTCTCGACATGCTGGATCCAGCAAATTCGATGACAACATTGACACCAATGTCCGAAAGCACGGGCGGTGGACCGGGGCATCACGCGGGCATTCACGGTCCCTCCGTATACGGCGGCATGAACGGTATGATGAGTCATCATCATCATCACAGTAACCTAGGCGGCGGTGGCGGCAGCGTGCCGCATCCGGCGCATCATCATCCGGCGATGGCTGCAGCGGCCGCGGCTGCAGCCGCGGCGGGCCTACATCCTGACGCAGATACCGATCCGCGCGAGTTGGAGGCCTTCGCCGAGCGATTCAAACAACGGCGCATTAAACTCGGCGTTACGCAAGCCGATGTCGGCAAAGCGCTAGCCAATCTGAAGCTACCGGGTGTTGGCGCTCTCTCGCAGTCGACGATCTGTCGCTTCGAATCGCTCACACTCTCGCACAACAACATGATCGCCCTGAAGCCGATCCTCCAGGCGTGGCTGGAGGAGGCGGAGGCCCAGGCGAAGAATAAGCGACGCGATCCGGACGCACCTTCGGTATTACCGGCCGGTGAAAAGAAACGGAAACGTACAAGCATCGCCGCGCCAGAGAAACGCTCGTTAGAGGCGTATTTCGCGGTACAACCGCGGCCGTCCGGTGAGAAGATCGCGGCGATCGCGGAAAAGCTCGACTTGAAGAAGAACGTCGTACGAGTCTGGTTCTGTAATCAGCGGCAGAAGCAGAAGCGCATGAAGTTCGCGGCTCAACATTGACCCGAGGGTGGCTTGTGACAGCAAAACTGACCGTACCAGCTGCCTAGTCTCGAGCCCAAACCCGAACCTCTGACTGAGTTTCAGGGTTGGCCGTGAAGTGCCCAAAACTGTCAAGGTGGGCTTTCCCCGACTCCGCCGGTGGTCATCACGGTGAGGAGATTCCAAGCCATTGTCGTCGAATCAACGTCACCGGGATACCTATCTGCGGCAGTCTTTCGCGGTTGCTAAAAAACGAATGGCTCGATACTACGGGCAGACGATACTATCGGTACACGAAGCTGTCACAGGCTGAAGAGTCGCTTGTTATCACTGCGCGTGTGTAATATGCTTTAAAACGCATATTCTGGAATCACCGGTTGCAGGGAGCTATTCTTGACCCGTTTCGGTTCGCGATTCTCTCTCCTCTTCAGCTAACACGATTATCTCTCGTGACGTTATACAATCGATGCAATGAAAACGCTGGTGACGCGTTTACGAATGTCTCACGATGGATATTATCGGTATAATATAAATTTATAGCAGTAAATATAAATTTATATCGCAATCAGTCTGATCCATCAAATTGATATCATCGCCGCGTTTTCTTCACCCACAATGGAAGTTGTTGCAATACTATGATTTCTAATATAGAGTAAGCCATTTTTTTTTACAATGTCTATTAATTAACAAATCTCTAATTGACTTTGCTTTAATGAAAACATTAAAGATATGTCTTATATCCTAATGTTGAAATAAATAAGCAAATTCAAACGCACATTGCGCCTTTTTATTTCGCTCGAAAAAACGAATGCGAGTGATATGCAGATAATGCCGAGAAAAAACACTGATCGCTGCAATAATGCATAACGCTTTCAACGGTATGCTTTTTGGAAAATGGAAAACTCTGCACTAGGGGGATATAAACGCTTTCTTCGTATTTTCATTTACATTAGCAGTAAGCATTGTAGCGATGGATTTGTGTTGGATAATAATATTATAGGGCTATATAAATACCGTCCGATTCGTGCGTTTCATCTGAAACAGGATATATTTGTTATCTTTTTTTAAGACTATATATTGCTCATAATCCACAATACACGTTAAAGTTTTCTTTTAACTAAAATATATAATATATAATATTGCTGTGCAATATTTTTTAATTTAGCAGGAAAATTTTAAGTATAATTTTTTCTTGCAACCAACAACTATTAACTTTTATAGCTTAATATGATATTTTGTTATAATGGATAATTCTTTTTTATCAAGAGAAAACTTAGATATTAAGTTCAAAAAATATGTAAAAATAAAGATTTGTTAGAAAGTCATTCAATATTATAATATCTTAAATTGTTCGAAGCAGAAGAAGAAAGGAAAAGTGTAGATTCGTATTGTGATTTTATGAGAACAATTAGATAAAAATTTAATTCAATTCAAATATTTCTATTATTACAATGCTTCAACTAATATTTTCTTCTGATCATCGTAATAAAGAGCCTTCAAGCTTGCAATCCGCAGAAATACAAGATCAAGAAATACACTACCAACGATAGCGATAAAACAGTTTACGATGCTATTTGCCCTTCGACCCCTCGTCGTATGGCATTCGCGGTTGAAATCGCTGTTCGGCACCGATTTCACTATCATATTTCTTGGAAACCAATATATGAAATCCTATAATCCATGTAAAATAAATGTACAATAGGAATAGTATTTCATTTTTCTTTGCTAAGAAGTAAAAAAGTTTAACGGATTTTTATTAAGATTCGTATTTGTTTATAATATCACTTTTTATAAATTATACATAATTATAATTATAAGGATAAGAAATTGTAAGATTTTTAAGTGTATATTATCATACTTTACAGAATCACATTGCAACAGAAATTATTTATCAAACAATTATCAATCGAAATAATACACAAAGAATATCTAAATATTAAAGAAAAACTTTCCAACATAATTCTTTCAATTTTTACAATTTCTATCATTAAAAAATTCATAAAATAGACAAACTAAACTAAAAATTTGTATATTTCTCTAATACAATGATATTTAAAATTTTCGACATCATGATATTGTCTATTGATACGAATAAATCATCAATAAATTATATCCTTAACGCAATTACGATCTTAATAATTTTTCACTTTTGAACTTGTAATATTTTACATAGTCACAAATCGACAATATTTATATCGCAAAAAAACACATCGGAAACAATCGTAAATCACTAGGTCGCCATTGCAATAATTTACTGAGCAATAATCATTGAAGGCACAATCGATTGTCGGAGGATGATCCCGACGGGGTTGAAAAGCGAGAAAGAGGAAGAGAGAGAGAGCTTTTTCGTCGTTCGTTTTTCATGGACGGAGCTTGTCATGACAAGTGAATGGCGAAGAGCAAAGATTACCAACGCGTCTTGAAAAGTACAACTCGAAACATAAAATATAAAGTACGTATTTGTTATAAAGACGACGCGCGGATACGTCGCGCCGAAGAAAAAGTGATATTAATCCTAATGAAGACGCTCAGTGCAGTGTAAACAGTGAAGAGAACGATAGTGTGCATGTGAATGAGTGAATGTATGTTGCGTATGTAAGGCAGAACCAAGGAGTTGAAATTTAGAAAAAGATAAAGAAAAGAATAAATGAGAGAGAGAGAAAGAGAGAGAGAGAGAGAGAGAAATAATAAAAGAAAGGGAGAGAAAAGGGAAGGAGAGAAAGAAAGAGGCAGAGGAGGGAGGAGGGGGGGGGAGAGGGAGAGAGAGAGGAACAAACTAACAGAGCTAAGAAAAATGTTTTACGTAGTGATATTGGACAATCAGTGAAAAGACTGTACCATATCATATTAAAGCAATACTGTAGTATGTAGTAAACGAATTAATTATACTCTGTTCGTATTTTTTATGATCGTCCGCGCATCCGCCATGCGCCATGCGCCGACTATTTTCGTAAAACGGGGAAGAGAAGAAAGGGCAGGAAAAAGAGAAAGAGAGAAATAGAGCGAACGACACAACGAGGGGATTGTTTTAAGTCGCGGTGCATATTCTGCTTTCAGACTCGACGATTAATAATAATCTCCTTATTGATCCGATATCAAGGATGCGATCAGCGCTTACGCTCTGGTCTCCACTTTTGCGCGAACCAACCAGTGTGCGCCAGAAAGAGAGTTTAGTTTTCCGGTTTTGTTTCCCGATATAAAGTACGGTTAATATCGGATGCATGGATAATCCGAAATCGATGGCTCTAACTGTCTACGTGTATATCTCTTTCTGTTCGCCGACATAAAGAATCTGTGACGACAACGAAATTCTCGAGTATGAGAGCGACATCCTCTTAACGGAAGGTAAGGCGCAATAGCGAACGAGAAAGCACGGTCAGTTTCTGATACGGTCGAAACGGTCGTGCTGCAAGTCGCAATTGTTAAAATTTTTTGCGCTATATTTTCTAAAGTTGGATATACGCCTTAATGATTCACTTTGTATGTAACTAAAAATACATTTCGATATATTATTTAAAACATTAGCTTTGCCCAAATAAAATTGGAAAAGTTTTCATATCTTGCAAGTACAAAACGTAATTATTAAACGATTTATTAAAAATCTTAAAAACTGTGTTGTACTTATTGGAAAAAAAATAATATTAAAATTTTAATAAATAAAGACAAGACAATCTCGAATGAGGACCGATACTTAATATAATATAATATTATAATAGAATTCTATAAAATCAGTTATTTATAAATAGAAAATTACTCAAATTAAAGTCACAATTCTATGATTAAAATGAAGAGAGTTTGCTCGATTTAGGCTAACATTGGAAATCCATTCTCTACATTGGCAGGTCGAGAAGGGTTAACCAACCGAAAAGTTGTCTTTAGAAATCCGCTCTCTACCTTGGCAGGTAGAAGAGGACTGAGCAAGTGACATGAGATCCAAAATGTCGGCTCCTCGTTTGATTTCAATTTGGTTTCATTTCAAGTTTCATTTGAAGCATATTATCATTGAATTCTGTAATATTAATTAATTCAAAATTTCATTCATTACTATTTTTATTCTATAAAAATATATGATATTTAATCATGTAATGAAATATGTGTTCCAGCAAATCGTATACATCGGTTCACTCAATAAAATTAATTATTATGCTTAATTTTAATTTTTTAATTTATTTTAATTATTTTAAATTTCCTAACAAATACAGAATCAACGGTATAGAGACCTAATTACAAAATTATCTCATAATTGGATATATATTTTTCAATGATCTTAACTTATCAGTTGCTTTCGATTAATTTTTTTAATCTTACAAAATTTGTATTTTACTGGACAATGAAATGTCTGGTACAAAAATTGCAAGAAAATTTATCAAACGCGTGATCGTGTGTATCCAACATTAGAAAAATATTTTATGTAAAGAGGATGAGATACATTCAGACAAACGAAAATATTAGTAATAGCTAAAGGTAAAAGTGAAAAAATGGTAGCAATTTTTAAATTGTACATATGTAAGAGGATAAGTATTTTATAGGAGAGTAATAGCCTCTATTTGCCATTTTACTAGGTAGTGGAGAAGAAGTTCTAGTGCAATATAGAAGTCTAGTGAGACGTTTAATATTTATTGTTTTCTTTCTTGCCTATGGCGCGTCCACTTTATCGGAGCAGTATCAGCAAGTTTATCAGCCTTTATCCACGGTCATTGAAAAACCTCAGAACCGCCCTGCATCGCGACCGTTTTTCTCGTAAAAAAAGGAATTATTTTCTTACATACGACAATTGCGTAATGTACCGATTCGTTAGCAACATAATTGTATTAAGCATTTTCTAATCACTGCATCCCTTTAATTCAAACTTAAATCCTGACGAGTTAAAACGTTGTGTAAATATCGCGACAAATCATATTTTTTATTGTTCCTTAATCTTGTTTTTTATGTATCTCTCCTCCGTTTCTTGTATATGTTTTTCTGTATTTTCAATTCCATAAAAGCTATCATAATTATCGCCAACAATTATAAATAACGTTCTTGAGAGACACAATGTTATTGTTACGTAACTAATAAAATTATGTAAATGATTCGTAATTGATGATTCTATGAATTAGATTAAGAATACGTTTCACGCACTTGGAATATATATAAAAAAAAAGAGGCGCCAGGAAGTATATAGAATGGTATATTATAACACACGCATTATTATCAACGTTAAGTGAAACGTCTCATGAAACTGATATTTATTACATATATCAAATTCATTAACAGATTTTAGAAAATTTTTTTATTTTCTGAAGATATCATTAAAAGTGTTTATGTCATAAAATTATATAAGAAAAGTTTCGACATTTTTTATAAAAAAAAAAGCTCATTACTCGTTCCTTAACATTATTTCATGAGAAAATGGAAACAAGAAATACACAATAGTAAATAAAAATAAAAAATTATAGATAAAATTAATTATCTATTATATTGCGATATATAAATATGGAAATGTCCTTTGATAAAATGAAATTCCATATACTTCCTATGTGTTGCCAAACTCTCAGAGCGTCATTAATCACTCTTTTTTAATCATATCATATCATTATATATAAAATATATACAAATAATTTTTCCCA